TATTTTTGGTTTTTCGAGACAGGGTTTCTCTGTAGCTTTGGAGCCTGTCCTGGACTAGCTCTGTAGACCAGGCTGGCCTTGAACTCACAGAGATCCGCCTGGCTCTCCCTCCCAAGTGCTGGAATTACAGGCGTGCGCCACCACCGCCCGGCGCGTATGAAATGTTTATAGTTGATGAAGTTGTGAAGGGGTTCCACTTTACTTTGATCACCTGTTCACCCATTCCAGTACCTAAGGGACCTTACAGTAGGAATGGTCTTCTTCAGAACTTCTCTCTCCTGTTACAGTCTTGCAACTTTTCCTTCTTATGCTGTCTTCAACAAATATGGCCACAGTATCTAACCTATATTTTCCAAGTACCAATCCCCAGGCAGGCATGAACACTACCATTAGACCAAAGGATTATCGAAGCAGCTCTGTGCTAGATTTTTCTTCTTTTTACCTTGGGCCAGTTACTAAGTCTCACTGAATTTCCAATCCTACCCCTTCCCTCTACTAGTGTGTAAAATAGGGCCGAAAACCATTCAATCCCTTTGATTTTGGTGAGTCTGATAGAAATGTCCAGGAGCAAATGCCTGGGTTCTGACTGGGAGTACCTACATGCTCTGTGAACTGGACTTCTGCTTCTGTTCCTCCAGCCACCAGCCAGGACATGAATTTCTCTCTTTACTTTAGAGTCAACCATTTTTGTCCCCTCTGGCTGTCATTTAAGATCGCTCTGCTATGATTAGAACACTGGGCTTGCAACGCCTCCCTATTAGGGGTTGATCTTTGCTTTCCTCTGTCCTCTCTTCCACAAAATCCTTCCCATATACATGTCTGAGACCTTGACATTGGGCAATGGCCCCCACTTGCCTCCTCATACACAACTTCTCCTCAGAGTTAAGTCTTCGAATGTCTAAGAAGCCTATTTCTTCACTGGGTTAACTTTTGGCTTTCACCTAGCTTTGGACCTCCACAGCTTTCTTTTATTCTCATTATCCCAAACCGGGAATCTGGTCCCTCAATTAAGGTTACTATAGAACTCTAGTCCTCAACCATTCCAATGGGTACTTATCCTAATCCTTCACATTCTCAAAAAATACTCCAGTCTTATAAAAACATACTTTGACCTTGCTTTGACCAATATTATTGGTTCTAATTCTCTAGAACACTCTCCCTGGAAGTGCAAATGTTCATCAGAGTGATGAAGATGGTCAGAAGATGTTCATTTGAGCATTAGCATCACTAAGGCTCCACCAAGCTCAAGGAGAAAGGTGGGAATGGGTAGGTAGATTGCAGGGCAGAGCTTGAACAGAGAGTCAACAGGCAGAGATGTCCACACTGTTCTTAGCCTTCACACCCATTACCAGGCATTCCATTTATGAGTGGAACCATGGAGGCATGGTAGGCCCATACTTTGTAGTCTCAGCCACTCTGTGAGTGATAGCAATAACAGCTATTTGTTGAGCACACTGTTGGTGTACTCAACTCTCTCAACATCACTACAGAGAGTTTTTTATTGTCTGTCCCATTTTTCAAGTGGAGTGTCTTGTGGAGGTCCATAGTGAATTATATCTGAGCTTTCCCAGTTACATGGGTAGTCTGCTAGTGTGTGCCTTGGGTAAGTCTCTGATCTATTCTCATCCTCAATTACCATTCCATCAGTTCTTAAGTTCTGAACTCTGGGTGTCCTTCTCAGGACTAAGAGGACCCTAAGATTGATAACAGGACCACGCTCTATAAGACAAAGAGAAGCCGGGCGGTGGTGGCGCACGCCTTTAATCCCAGCACTCGGGAGGCAGAGCCAGGCGGATCTCTGTGAGTTCGAGGCCAGCCTGGGCTACCAAGTGAGTTCCAGGAGAGGCGCAAAGCTACACAGAGAAACCCTGTCTCGAAAAACAAAACAAAAAAAAAAAAAAAAAAGACAAAGAGATTACTCTACTCTTCAGATCCCTTGGCAAAAGCTCAAACCTGGCCTCAGTCTGGGCCAAGGAGGTGGAGCAAGTGGTTAGAAAGGAATGTGCTGGGATGGAGAGATGCTCTCAACTACTCCAGTAGCATTGAGGGGCCAATTCAGGTTTAGAAAAAAAATTTCAAGTGATGAGTTCTTCCAAGCATTAAAAGGATTAACCAGATCCCCATGGTCCATCAATAATTTCACATTCAATATCTCCTTCGGCCTTAAAATTAACCTGGACAGTGAATGGAATCCTCCCAGGGTTTGAAGCCCCATTCCACCCATGCTTCTTTCACTTCCTGTAGTAAAGCTGCCTCTCTGGTTAATATTCAAGTTAAGAAAGAAATCAAAAGTTGCTTTTAAATAAACTAGATTCCTTGTCTGTCCCTTTTCCAACACAGACACACAGACACACACACACAGACTCACACACACACACACACACACACACACACACACACACACACATACACACACACACAAAACAAAACAAAACAAAACTGGAGAATCCTGAAGTGGAACCCTGGCAAGCACTGGGCAATGTTCTTACCACCCCCACCC